TCGTAGAGTGGAAAAGTGGAGGTAAGAAATATAATAACTAGTTGGGCCCACGTTTTCCCTTTGCCTCCAAAACTGGAGGGAAAACTCTATTGAAAAGAGAGAATCCAAAATACTAAAAGGCCTTGCTTATATATATTTTTTGAAAGAATGTTATAATAAATATAGCTGTTATAATAAATACAACAAAGTGCTTAGTAACAACGCGTAAAATGTCATTTTCTTTTAATGTCTTCTTTTCTTTTCACTTTTCCATCTAAACAAACAAAAAATATAATTCTTGTCTTTGTTTCCTCTCTATTTTCCTTTCATCGACACCAACCTATGGAAACTCAAAAATCCTTCCTATTTCTTTCCCTTCCTTTTTCCACTCATTTTCCTTCCTTGCTTCCAAACAAACAGGGGGGTAAACGTAAGTTGCAAAATGCAATCATATATTATTCATTAGTCAAAAGGCAAAACAAACAGACCTCCCTCTCATCCATTGTTCTTAGTGCAAATTTTATGGACAGATAGCACAAGCACCGATAATATGAATCTTCACCCCGTGCATTAATATCAAGATTAGCCGAGCGAAGAGCATCTCCTGGGGCTGGGAGGTTTGGAAAGATTTCCATATCAACACCCTAAGGAGGACCAGAATTAACAGTACTCTCAAGTTTCAACAAAGCTACGTTAGATCCAGCGTAAAAAAATTACAAGTATTAGTTAATTAGGGTACCTGTGTGTCCTCCCCCGGTTGGAGTGCTTGGTCTGGGTCACATTCACATTGAATGTCAGTTCCAGATAAGATTCAAAGTTTAACACAAACATAAAAAATCATTAAATTACCTGCTCTCTCTCTAAATATGAGAACTTCGGTTTCCGCGTTAAGCAGATGAAACCAAACTTTAGTCTGATAAATTTTGGTTTCTCCAGTATCCAGGTCTTTAGCCAGGAAGGTGGTGTAATACAAATCACCTGATTCATAATTTGACTTGATAATCTTATCCAAGACGAGTTTCTTTTTCTGCATTGGAACTTTTGATGTTAAAAAACAATACAAAAGCCAGAACCAGTAAATATATGAGAAAATTAAACACGGGGTAGAAGCTAACCTGTTTTTGGTTCTCTTTGAAAATAGCATATTTGAGGGAGAAAATGCATCCAAATTTGCAAAATAATTCAGTGCAAAAGTCGGCAGAATATATCTCTTCAAGATCAAAAGGGACCTTTATCATTCCACCAATAAATTTAGTGACATCCGGAAAAGTTTGGATATCAAACCCCTATCATTGAAAATCAGAATTGAGAATTTTACTAGCAATCCAGAAAGAATATGTTAAAATAAGATTAGATTAAATTAAAGTATGTAATGACAACAGCTAAAGTGGGGAACTTACGGCTCCTACCCCTCATAACATCTAGCTCCTTCAAGACCACTCAGCCCCACAAGTTAGGCTGACATTTAAGTCAAAATTTTGACAACGAAACTTATAGGATGCAATTGCGGGGACTATGGGGGGTCGTGAGGGATTGAGGTTAGGCGGGCTTATGAGGGCCATCAATTTTACGAGTGTAAGATTATCACTCCTCTAAATCCTCTGAATTAAAGAGGTTACCTCGCTTTGTTCAAACTCTTCTGCGAACTTCTTGTAGGCTACTTCCAATTCATCAGCTTCGTTTTCAACCCTAGCTTTTTTAGGTGGAGGCGGCAAGGGAGAAGAAAGGCATTCGCCAAAACCCATAGCCTGATGAAAACTTTGGATATCAAACTCCAATCACCCAAAATCAAAATCGATAATTTACTTGGAATCTAGAACAAAATTATNCGGGCTTATGAGGGCCATCAATTTTACGAGTGTAAGATTATCACTCCTCTAAATCCTCTGAATTAAAGAGGTTACCTCGCTTTGTTCAAACTCTTCTGCGAACTTCTTGTAGGCTACTTCCAATTCATCAGCTTCGTTTTCAACCCTAGCTTTTTTAGGTGGAGGCGGCAAGGGAGAAGAAAGGCATTCGCCAAAACCCATAGCCTGATGAAAACTTTGGATATCAAACTCCAATCACCCAAAATCAAAATCGATAATTTACTTGGAATCTAGAACAAAATTATGAAAATTATATTACATCAAATAAAACTACCTTGCTTTCTATTGCCTGGCCGAGGTTCGTCGCCATAGTTTACCTCACAAACCCTAAAACGGCAGAAAACAATTTCGGCCAGCTTCAGGAGGGCCTCTTCCCTAGTTCGTTCTAATATGAATAAGTTTTCAATTTGATCTTCTAATTTGGTTTGATCTTACTAATATGAAGAGTAAAAATTAAAATTTTATGACATAGGGAAATAAATCCTCCAACTAAGAACAAAATGATAGGGAATGAAAAGATGGGCACCTGATAGGCCACAAAATGATACTACCTCCGTCTCAAAGTATTTGTAAACTTTCATTTTTAAACACCATCCAATGTACTTTTTTAATCCATTTTATCTTGTAATTTGTACATTAAAAAATTATAGAAATTATATATTAATAATCTATATGTTAAAACAAATCAAACAAGATCACACATGACTATATTTAGACTTACACATTGAGAGAATTTAATGAGTCAAAGTGCTTAGATGAACAGTTTCAAAAGTCAAAACTGGACGAATACTCTGCGACGGAGTATTAATGTAGAGAATGAAAAGATTTTAGGTGGTGGGTTAGGGGGGCAGGAAACGTCAATTTTGCGAACGGAGCACCAGAGGTGCCCCAAAATGACAGTGGCACCGCCAGTGACACCGAACTCCGGTGTCACTGGAACCGGGCCGGAATTATAATATGTGGTGTGTGTATTGGACATTTTTTAACATATTAGCAAGTAGTAATATTTTAAGATTTAATTAACCAAAAAAACCTATTCTATGGAAATTAAACTTCGTATTTGTTACACACAAAATTCTAATCATAATTGTGTTTAAAAACTTTATTATTTTAATTCATTATTGAAAAATATTTAATTTATATAATATATTTTAAAATTTAAAAAAAGAACTCATATTCAAAAACAATAATCAAAATAATTAAATTTATTCTAAGAACGGATAGATTGGTAGACTAAAAGAAATTATATGTGAATCTTCATTTTTTGCTTTAATGTAATACTAATTGGAGAGAGTTTTCAATTTTTTAAAAAGAGAAAAAATATATAAAAAAGGAACGAGATTTTTATGGGCATGTTTATTTAATAGAGAATTTTTACTCTATATATATTAAAAAAATTCTTAGTAAAATAATAATTATGTTCCATTTTAAATTTGATATTTTCCATTGCTAACTTTGTAAAAATTTATAGATTCATGCCACAAAATTTTCCATAAATAACTTTGTAAAATGATAGAAACTTGGTATGTGGGTATTTATGTGTAAGAAATTAAATATTAATTGGTATTCTTATTTAAAATATTTATGGTATAACATTAATTGTTATTGGTAGAATTACTTCTAAATAAAATTCTTGAAAATATAAAACGTGCTTATTTTGACGTCAATGTCAAAATAATGTATATAAGTAATATTCTTGCTTATTTATTCATTTGACCATTGACAACAATGTAACAAATATTAGTGGATAATATTTTTTTATAATTAAAGTTTTTAGATAAAAATTATAATATTTATTTTAAGATGATTATTATAGATACTGAAGGGGAGAGGTCATCATCGATTATAGTGTCGCATCATTGTACACGTTTGAGAAAGAATGTACTCTCTGATGTGACAATGATATTTTTATTTTTATTATTCCAAAAAATCATTTGCACAGTACTCCAAATACGGAGCAATTATACACACACTTTGTCGTGCTTTCAAGTGCAAAGGAGACCGAAGATAATTTATCTATCTTTTAAAACACATATAATTAATTTCTTCGAAGGTGATAATACAACAGTATAATTATCTTTTTGTATTAACTAATTATATATAAAAGATATTATAAACAATGTAAGCATATACTGCATAAATTAATATGGTGGACATTGATTTTTTTTAATTTAGATGTTGAGGTAGAAGGTTCATTTATCAGTCGAATCATTTTTAGACAATTCTTTATTTAGAGAAACAAAAATTAAATGTATGTTTAGATAATATATGCAACATGTAAGTTGTGTACAATACTAAATATTTATAAAAGATTGGCTATATGATATCTTATTTCTCCTTTAGAGATCATCGATTCTAAGGATCCCAAATTTATGTGTGAACTTTGAGAAGCTTTGTTATGATATGAAGAAAGAATAAAAAATAAAGATTCAGAATAATTTATTTTGAATGGACTTGGTGTGAGGAATTTTGTTTTCATAGAGTTTTCATTTTGTTTTGTGAAGGAAAAATTTAACTATCTCTTTTAAGGAAACTTTTAGATTTTCTCTATAATTTATTTTATGGACTTGGTGTGAGGAATTCTCATTACTATGAAAGATTTAAGAAAAATACAATAGTACGTATGTTTCTGTTCAGGTATATGGATGGAAATACTGATGCATATCAAAACAACAATCGAGCAACAATTTACTCTTAGCGGGCACAATCATCATCACATACCATCTTTATTGTCACAAGATGGTGAAAGATCAAGATTTCCTCAATTGTATATTTATGATACACAGAATGAAATATCAAACAAAATGACCATTTAAGGTATCACAAACACTTTATTAAGTACACCTTTTTAATACAGGTAGGTATTATTTACATATGTTTGATAATATAATACTCATGAAGCATTATTAACATACGGAGTACTAAAAACAAATTCTTCTATTTGTTTCATATAGTAGAGATAATGATTTTTTGGCTTTTGATAGAAGTTTAGTTCAGTATTTAAAAAATATGATAAATGAGCATAATGATTTAACACAAATTTCAGAAGAACTAGAGACTTCATGGATAATGATGCCACTTCTAATGTATCATTGAGGCTCTTGAGAAGTAGAACTAGAGACTGAAAAATTATAATATCTCCGTAGTACACAAAGTTGCTGCTCTAATAGTTAGAGATGTTGATTCATCTAATGAAGAAAGGGACGTCATCATTGCGATGAGATTGATTTTATGAAAAGCCCATGAGACACACATTGCTTTCATCCCTCTATAATACTCTTTGTTGTTTTCTTTTGGGGGATGGATATCAAGAAAATATCCCAATAAGGAAATAATTTTTTATGTAAAAAATCCAAAGCATTAGAGAGTATCAATGAGAGAATTTGTTGCATTTCAAATACAGGAAAGAGAAAATGATGGTAGTGTTGTGTTGTTTGCACAAAGATTATATTTACAATTTTTGGTTGATGCATATATGATGGTTGAAGCACAAAGAATCAAGTGCGTGTGGTTAAACTAAGATCAAGTTAGAGAACAATTATGAGTGACTTACAAGATGCTATGTTCATAGGTGATACCCAATCGACATCCATTGGCCAACGAATTATCTTATCATCTACATCCACTGAGAAAAATAAGACATATTTAACACCTCACAAGATGTAATTGCCGTTTATAGGCAACTTGGTCATTCAAATTTATTCATTACCATAACATGTAAATGGCCAAAGATTGCAAGACATGATACAATAATGAAATGTAGAGCTAGAGACACACCTTACATTGAATTTAGAATCTTTAAAATAAAATTCGATTATTTGGAGGACAAAAAGTATGACTTATATTTGGTGAAATAATTAGATGTAATTTTAAAGTTTTCTATATTAGTTTCATTTAAATAATAAAGTTGGTATAGTTTTAAATAATAGATGTGTTGATTAGTACCAATAGTTGTGTTGGTTGCTGTCTATAAATATTCTAAGAACATAAAATTCCTGAATGCAGTTCACAATAAAAAAAATCACAATTCTATTCTGCATTTGTTTTGTTCTTCCTATCATTTTTCTAACAATTGGTACCGGAGCACAAGGGCTGTCAAATTATAATACAAAACGTTAGAGACTTCCTCGACAATAGATCAAGAATCTTCAACAAGATTCTTCATCGCCTAGGACAAGAATAGCAGATGGCTAGTTTTTTTCCTTTGGCAGAAGCATTCCAACCAAACATCACTGAAAAAGCAAATTAGCGGGGTAGCTTTCATTTAGTGGATTGGAAGATAGAAAAATAGGGGTTTGTTTTCTGGTTGATGGTCAATTGCAGATGGCGTACGACCTAGGAAGGAGTCAATGTTTAAGAATTTTGTGAAAATTATCATAGGAATTAAAGACGTGCAATGGAAGACAGTAAACAGATTGCGACTACAAAGGAGAATAGTTCACTATCTTTTTACGGTTCTAATTCTAACTGCTACAAACTACACTTTGGGTCATGAAGATCAAAGCAATCTTTAATACACACACAAACTGCATGAAAAAATTCACAAGATAGCAAATAAACATACTTCATTCTTGAAAATCCTTTTTTTTCTTATTTTATCCGTCCCAAAAACTTTTATCAATTCTTTTAAAAATCACTTTTATTCTACTAATTCTTAATTTACATGTCACATCACGTATATAATTACTATATAAATCTACCTATCACATTCATTTTTAATATTTGAAAGTCAACAACAAAATACACTCCATTAAAATAATTTAAAAATCAAAACTAGAAACGTTTTAAGGACGGGAGGGAGTATTATTTTATTTTATCAAATCAATAATAGAATTAAAAATAAATTGATTAACTTTGACCGAGACTATCAAAGTGTATCGTTTTATTCACGTTGGAGGAAATATAGTGAGTGTTTCTCCATACTTATAAGTTGGTCAAAATAGCTTATAACCCGTTTTAAATGTATAAGTCATAAGATTATGTTTCTCTGTGCTTATAAGCTGATTTATAAATTAGAAAAAAGTACGTCATAGGATATGTTCTCTTTAATTTATTCTTATTACATACTCCCTCCGTCCTAAAACTTTCTTCCCTGAGCACTATTCCAACTTCACGGGAATTTATATTTATTTGTGTTTTTTCATGGCCTATATGATAAAATAAAATATTCTTGTCACTACTTGTTTTGTTGAACTTTTGATGTAGTTTTTAAATATGTATGTTTTATTTTTTATTTCTATACCAATATTTAAATAAAATAGATTGAAAAAACTTGAGATTTTTCTTCGTTTTGCGCAACGGGAAGAAAGATATAGGACGGAGGGAGTATTTCATATTATTTTTTTTATTGGAATCAGACTAGATCAGATCAGAACATATTGCAATCAGATTAGAATCATTCAAATAAGATTAATAGAACACGACCTTGCATATTTTTAAGTTATTTTTTTTCATTTTGACCTAATTACTTAAAATACTACTCCGTATCTCTTATCTATTATGAACAGTTCCAAATGGTTTATATATCACTTAAGTCATTTAACCTACACAATTATTTTCAACTTATAAGTAGCTTATAAATTAAAAATTACTCCGGAGTACTTATAAATAATAAGTCAATCAGGTCAAAAAATTGTTTAAAAATAATATTGGGTAGAGTGGAAATGCAAAAAATAAAAAGGGAAAAAAAATAATATAAAATCACCCAAAGTGTAGTTAGTGAAATGTACAAGGACGTGTTAGCAAAATGTAAAGAGATAAGGACGCAAAACAAACAAGTAAGCAAGCCAACGTAAATCCATCCGCGGCTGACCTAAAAGGCATTGAACATCTGCACCGTCGATATTCAAATCCAAGGGTCCCTGAAAAACCCTAGCCTCGCTGCCCTCCCTGAACTTGATTTATAAAGTCCCTCATTTCTTCATCTCAGTCTCTCGCTCGCTCATTTCTCGCGCCGATCTCCCGTCGAACCTAATCTTTCATTGATCTGCATCGCGATAAAGGTGAGTGTTCCATTTGGTGTTCTAATCTTTGCTTAAATCACCTCATCTCATGTCGTGGATTCTGATTAGCTTTCATGTAATGATTGTGTTTGGTTCTTATCATTAGATCTGTTTGGTTTTTGATTTGTTTGTGTCTGGCGATCTGATACATGAGATCCGCTGATAAGATTTCATGGAATTATGTTTTATCTTTTGAGAAAACAACGGTTTATATCTTTTTGAAATCTTGTAATTGGATACTAAACTTGCTTTTCGTTCATGTGTTCATAGGCAGATCGTTTTTTCAGATATCCAGATTTAAATTTAATTTTGTTGTTTTCGAGATTGAACTACGGTTTGTATTCCGTCATGTTTATCAGTCTTCTAATCGATTCGTCCTATCTTATTATTTCAGTTTTTGCTACTAGAAGTTGAGAATGGGTAAGGAAAAGACTCACATCAACATCGTGGTCATTGGCCATGTCGACTCTGGTAAGTCTACCACGACTGGTCACTTGATCTACAAGCTTGGAGGGATTGACAAGCGTGTGATTGAGAGGTTTGAGAAGGAAGCTGCTGAGATGAACAAGAGATCATTCAAGTATGCCTGGGTTCTCGACAAGCTCAAGGCTGAGCGTGAGCGTGGTATCACCATTGATATTGCCCTCTGGAAATTCGAGACCACCAAGTACTACTGCACAGTCATTGATGCCCCCGGACATCGTGACTTCATCAAGAACATGATTACCGGAACCTCACAGGCTGACTGTGCTGTTTTGATCATTGACTCTACCACTGGTGGTTTTGAGGCTGGTATCTCCAAGGATGGGCAGACTCGGGAACATGCTTTGCTCGCTTTCACCCTTGGTGTCAAGCAAATGATTTGCTGCTGCAACAAGGTCTGTTTTTGTTCCATCTCTAGTCCAGTATTTTATGCTTTTGAATTTTTTTTTAAATATTGGTAAGTGTGTCTCTTAGATTAACATAATTTATCATAATTTATTGCTCTCTTTTGATATCTCACATGGGAAATGCAAAAAAAATCCCGTTGTGAAAAATGGAATAGAGTTATTTTTGATATCAAATGCGTCATATATAAGCAGTCTTATCATATGCTGGATAAGTGATATATACTAACATCCTCTCATCTACTTTGATTGTATCTGCAGATGGATGCCACAACTCCCAAATACTCTAAGGGCAGGTATGAGGAAATTGTGAAGGAAGTGTCTTCCTACCTGAAGAAGGTTGGATACAACCCTGATAAAATTCCCTTTGTGCCCATCTCTGGCTTTGAGGGTGACAACATGATTGAGAGGTCAACCAACCTTGACTGGTACAAGGGACCCACTCTTCTTGAGGCTCTTGACCAGGTCAACGAGCCCAAGAGGCCATCTGACAAGCCACTCCGCCTGCCGCTCCAGGATGTCTACAAGATTGGTGGAATTGGTACCGTACCTGTTGGACGTGTGGAGACTGGGGTTCTAAAGCCTGGTATGCTTGTTACATTTGCACCTACTGGTTTGACAACAGAAGTCAAGTCTGTTGAGATGCACCACGAGGCACTAACAGAGGCTCTTCCGGGAGACAATGTCGGGTTCAATGTGAAGAATGTTGCTGTCAAGGATCTCAAGCGTGGATATGTTGCATCCGACTCTAAGAACGACCCGGCCAAGGAAGCTGCCAACTTCACTTCTCAGGTGATCATCATGAACCACCCTGGCCAGATTGGAAACGGGTATGCCCCGGTTCTTGACTGCCACACATCTCACATAGCAGTCAAGTTTGCCGAGTTGGTTACCAAGGTGGACAGACGATCTGGAAAGGAGCTTGAGAAGGAACCCAAGTTCCTCAAGAATGGAGATGCCGGTTTTGTCAAGATGGTTCCGACCAAGCCCATGGTCGTTGAGACCTTCTCCGAGTACCCACCGCTGGGTCGTTTTGCTGTGAGGGACATGAGGCAAACAGTTGCAGTCGGTGTGATTAAGAGTGTCGAGAAGAAGGATCCAACCGGAGCCAAGGTGACCAAAGCTGCCCAGAAGAAGAAGTGAGCCGCCAGCAGTGTGGGATGATTTGCTAAAACAAATTTGCTTTGTTTTCTGTTCGTTCTTAGTTTTGGATTTTGGTACCCTCTGTTTTTATCGGCTTCCCCATTGTTTGTGGATTCTATTATTCGTAGCTTTGTTTAGAATTCTGTTGCAGTTTTGTGCTGAGTTCCATTAAAATGAAATAGACAAATGCGTTTTTCCTAATGTTGTCTTTGGAGTCATTATTCATAAGGATTTGGTGAATTAATCTCTAATAGTGTAGAGTGTTTAGTCACAGCTGCTTATTGTTCTATCGTGCAATTTAGAACGGACCTAACTTGTTTTCTATGAGGGCGTACGTGCGAGTAAGATTTGGAATACATTAAAAAAATAACTAGACCTTCTTATAGTCCGTTCTGTCAAGTTTATTTATTTAGCTTATACTTACTCAAATCAGATGAAATCAAATCATATTAGACTATTAAAAAACAACGGTAAATAGAACTACAATTATATTAGATCAATCGAATCAGATCATAAAATTTTTACCATTTTCAATTAGGTGATCGTATTAGTTTACCCCTGAAATTGACTTTGATGTGATGTGAGTTAGAATAAGAGAAGTGTAATTTGGTCATATGGATGAAAAATAAATGGGCTGGAAAGAAAGTGATTGAAAATAGCAATTACTACGTACTAATGTATTTGAAGTATTAATTTAACAAACAAAATAAAAGTATGACGTGACTTTAGTCGTTCTGGACGAAAGGATTATATAAAGAAATAAGGGCAAGGTTCTAATAACTCCAAGTCTGACTGTCATTAAAAGAATCACTCTAAATTGGAATTAAACGTAAAGAAAAAATTAAAATAAATCCTACATGTTTTTATCCTCATATAAAAATTTGCATTGTAATAATATGACACAACATATATTTTACAATACTTTTTGTATATTGCCATAACTACCATTGTATATGTATTTTAATCCTTATTTTGAGAACAAAAACATAAACTATTAATTATTTTGATATGTTTTCTATATCTTACTCCTATTGTAGTTTTTTTCCCTTATATTATGACACTAGCCCTATTTGTGTGTGTCGGGGGGAGGGGAGGGGGTAAAACTTGATTTTTAAAGAACAGTTCAAATTTTTCCTGTCGAACGTTATTCACCATTCTATTACCACAATCAAACTAAACCATCTTTGTATGTAACCAAAGGTAGCAAATTTAAGGAACAAATCATTCAAAACAAAACTAACACTGAGTAGCCAGAAGAATGAAAAAAAGGAAACTACAAGACACCAGTCGTGACATCAGCCGTGATAGATTGACATTCCGTGTTTTTGTGTCGACGCGTTCCCAGGAAACCATGCAAAACTGCTCCGTGCAGACGGATTTATAGGAGAAGAAACAGTGATAACTGTAAATCATTGATTCAAACAGGCATTGGGCCAGAAAGGAACCCTCAAACACAATATAGTGAAGACTAATGTTTACCAAAGAATAATGTTATAATTCTTTATCCTCGTGGCTTTCGGCTTTCGCTTCTGCCTTTTCTGTCTCTTCTAATGCAAACAGTTTCAGTGATTCCACATCCCTTGGCCCTATACATATTGCAATACAAAGTCAAGGCAAATAGAAATGAGCTTATTAATCACCACCACAACAACATATGTGATCATCATTTGTCCAATTAGTCGTTCATTGCAAATGGATCTAAAAGAGTCTGGGTTTGACAATGATTTTGTTTCGGGCACATGATGGACTAAATCAACATGGCACATTAAACTTCCCTTGCTTCTTATTTTCTATAAAGTAGGTAAATGCAACTTCCCCGTGTAATACTAAAATTACCCCCCCCCCCCCATGATGTCTCATAACAAACAACAACAACAACCCAGTTAAATCCCACAAAAGTAGGGTCTGGGGAGGGTGTGTGTACGCAGACCTTGCCCCTACTCGAAAGTAGAGAGGCTGTTTCCAAAGAGACCCCCGGCTCAACGTCGAAAGTTGCATTGCTTAACTAACTGCTACTTCATTAATTAAAGAAGCACAGACAGTTTAGAGATCCATTTTGATTTATTCCATCACATCCCAAAGCCAAAAATGGTGAAATTTTGGCTCCATCCGAGATGATGGAAATAAGAAGGACCATGATGTCTCATAAATGAGTTTTTTGTTGTTTGAGTTATATTCACAACTAAGACCGTCACCACGATAAGTTTGATTCTCGAAGCATGCTAAGGGTAAAAATAATATACACGGGATGATTATTTATTTGTTAACATTTTTAGATGAGTGTTTTAATTTTATAAAAGCTATATATAAGGTAATAACGTAAAAAAAAGTTTTATACGGAGTATAAGGTAAATACTTGTTCCCTTTTATATACAAAATGAAGATGGTTTAACTTAAAAATACTACAAAATAAAAAGAAAATATATTTTAATATGAATTCGAATAGTGGGCTTCACAAGGTAGCAACTCCAGCAAAAGAGCTGCCTAAAGCTGAGTGAGAACAAAAAAAGGGGTAAATCCGTCTTAATGGACTGTCCATTAGGATGATGTTATAGTGACATTTGTATTATGATATGATTATACCATGCATTTTAGCTCAATTTTGATAAGCACATTTTCACGGTGTTTAGTACTACCTGGCGCCAGTGTTTGTGTTTTACTGTCTCCCCTGAGGATGTTTAATTTGATTAGTTAGGAGTTTTGACCAATACCCACACCGACAAGGAGGAGGTGGGGAGGAGTATCAGATTTCAGATTCAGAATTGTTGTTCCCCTTATAAGAATGAGTATAAGCCGTACTGTGCAAAAAAAGAGATTTCACACAAAAAAAACTCCCTACATCCCTAGATAAACTTCACCTCTGTGTTTTTCACTGTTTCCAGTGTTCATATTTAATGATCTTTCCTACATATTACTAAAAGTTATGATAAAATTACATTTTAAAAATATAAATTGACACAATTGGTCCAGAATACTTCCGTATTACAATATACATAATTTACGAAATACTGAAGGTCATATCTAACAAATTTCGACTACAGAGAGGAATGGCGTATGGGCTATTTCAAAAGTTTATGATAAGGTCTTAGAGACAAGTGAAGAACAAGGCCCAGGGGGAAAGCTCCTAAAAAAAAAAAAGCATAAAGGTAAACATCATCTGTTCCATCACTGTTTTAAACATCAAAATAGCCATCATGATAATTCATGACTGGTCCATGCCCGCGAGACTAGGCTTCACTGGACTGTCTATGATTAAAAAAAATGGCTTCAACTACGCTCTGCCTAGCGCCTTTTAGAACATAGGTTCCTCAACCTCAGTGAGGCATATCCAAACAGTTCAAAAATTATTTTCAATGTTACACCGCCACAGTACTTCTCATGGGTTCTTGAGAGATGTAAGTTTTTTGAGCAGTTAGAAAGGTCTATTAAAGACAAAGAAGAGTAATCAATCAGACTTATCACCTGATTAGTCCCCTTTCTTCCTTTTAAACAAAACTATAAAAGACTTCTCATTCAGTAAGAGTTGGTGCATGTGTTCTAGTTTGATAGGCTTAAAGATGCAGACTCACAGAGTTCATGAAGGATTCCTAATTCAGCTGAATGAGTTATCACTTATCAGCATATAATATTGGAGTAGCTTAGCATTTTATTAGTTGTTGTTTGTATGGTAGATGGATAAACGACAAAAGTGTGATAAACAATGAGTTGTGGGAAGTGGGAACAGAATGAGAACAACGAATCACTCATTTCTCTTCTTTTTTTCACTTCCATTGAGCAGATAATTATTTCCCCTCGAAGCCTGTAGCATTAAGACAGATCATATCATAGTTTCCTCCAGATTTGCATTTCTTACTGAATTTGTTTCTATTGGCAACTTTAGCCCTTGTGGGCCCTATTAAAATATACTCCCTCTATCCCATTTTGTTAGATACACTTTCACTTTTAGTTTGTCACAAAATAATGTTCACTTCCCTATGTTGGACTACCCATTTTTTAGTTTCCCAATTTACCGTTTTATCTATCATTTGACCTATTAAACATGGTACGCTCTAATGGCTCTATACTTCCTTTTTCCTGTTTTTGAAGGTTTCAATGACAAACAACTAATACGAGTATCTCCTTTGCTTTCCTAAAATTATTGTCAAACCCAAATGTTTCATAGAATGTGGCACACATGAGGTAAGTATTGTTGCACTCATCAAATGGGAATCATACCAACTTGGTAAAAGTTAAGTCATTTTGTCATGAACACTCAACTACAACAATGAAGAATAAAAATCACTAAAAGCACACAAGATTAGGGAATGTATATGAAATCAAAAGAAAAAAATATTGCTACCTTGATATTTTGCAGCCTCTTCTCCATTGTAAAATAGCTTGAATGTTGGATAAGAATGGATATCAACCTTTTGACATACTGATTTAGTTGTGCCACAATCAACCTCTCCAACCTCTATCACATCATCTCCTTCTGTTGCCTTCCCTAAATCTTCCCATAATGTTCCCAAGTTTTTACTTTTGAAAAAGAAAAAAAACTATCACAAAAAAAGGCTTAGACTAAACCTTCTTTAGTAGGGATGATAAAAATGCATAAAAGAGAGAGAGAGAGAGAGAGAGGAAAAAATGGGAGTGTTACAATATATTTATATTGTGACCAACTTTTAAGCTTCTTAATATTTATAATATCTCTTCATCCCGCCTTAATAATCCCACACCCCAACAAAAGGTAAGGAGAATCCCCACAGCAGGTAGGTTATAGGCTAAGAGTCTAAGACCTAGTCGTAGTGGATTGCTAAGGTGATATTTGAGATTTTATGTATTAGAAAGACAAAGAGCCTATTTTAATGAGCAAGCATTAAGAAATTTCTCCAATCACATACTCACATCAAATATGTTTCTTCTAAAATTCCTTATATTCATCAATAAGAAAGGGAAAACAATAAGCCAAGAGTCACATATCTAATCATATGAGATCACAAACAAGTTATAAAGTCAGGGCTGCATTAAGTAGAGATCTAAAACAAAAAAGACTGAAATCCTTACCAATGCTTACACCAAGGAACACAAAATTTCACGAACCAAGCAGTATGCTTCTCATTTATCTAAGGATGACACCAGTCAAAACAAGTCAATATGGGATCAAGATCACTGTAGCAAGCAAAAACAAATCCTAATAGCAGTAAGGACACTGCCCACCACCCATCATTCCAAAAAACTCAAACAGATTGTTAATGGAAATAAACGAGAATTTACTGCAAAAACCTATATATCATTGCATTGCCAATTTCAATAGTTAAGTTGTATGCCTGCAATCTACTTTCTACTCTCAACGAACTCTACCTTGTTAGCATAATGGGTGAGTTCAAAGTATTCAATTTCTACCAATTCGGAAAATTGTACTAGTTCACTACATAAAGATTATGCATTTTCAGTAGGATGAGAAGTTATTTCCATCATCTCGGATGGAGCCAAAATTTCACCATTTTTGGCTTTGAGATGTGATGGAATAAATCAAAATGGATCTCTAAACTGTCTGTTCTTCTTTAATTAATGAAGTAGCAGTTAGTTAAGCAATGCAACTTTCGACGTTGAGCCGGGGGTCTCTCTTTGGAAACAGCCTCTCTACTTTCGAGTAGGGGCAAGGTCTGCGTACACACACCCTCCCTAGACCCTACTTTTGTGGGATTTAACTGGGTTGTTGTTGTTTAGTAGGATGAGAAGTTGGGAACCTCAAATTTGCGTTTTTTAAAGCAGGTCTTGAATCTAAAATTAAAATCAATTGATAGAATACAAAAATCCATTCAAAATCACTTCAGAAACGCATGAATTAAACACCAAATTTCATTTCAAAGTCAAAACAACTAAAGATCAAAAAGTTCAAAGAGAGTTAGGGCTTAGCCAGACATTAAAAAACAGTTTATTTTAAATCCCAGCAATATATCTTTTGGAAAAGAAAAAAAACTCGATCTTTGGAGCAATCACAGTACGATCAGCAACTCTAGAGAAAAATGTAAAGCTATATATATCTTACCTTGTCATTGAAGGTATCGGCCGTGAGCGTAATGACCTCGGCTTTGGTAAGACGCATACAGCATAGAACAAGAAGTGAAAAGATCAATATAATGTGAAAAGATCTCATCGTTTCTCTATGCGGATTCTCAGATTTTTTCTTTCCTTATAATCTTATATTTACCCGAGTTGAGCTGCAGTGGGGGAAGAAGAATGGAGACGATTGGGTTTGGGCTTATTTGTGAATAAATAAAAACAGGGATCTTTCATATTCGGGCCATATCCTTTCACCTCTTTTTAATTCTTTTCTAATTTCTTCCTAATTAGTGGCTTAAAAATTATTCAAGTGTATTTTTTTTATATTGGATTAGTTCTGTTGCCAACAGGCAAATGTACCACTACAGAACTTCTAGCCTTTTGAAGCCTCGTTCAAAAAATTATTAGTTCTTACCTATAGGTAAATCCTCTACCCTGCCTCAATCTGAATCCTCTGCCGTCAATTGGACTTACCAAATTTAGTTGACTTTGGAAAAATATGACTCAACGGTTGAGATGTCCAATCGATGGCGATAAGGGGGTGGCTTCGGGTCAGACAAGGATGAGAGTATTTTCCGGGAAAATTAGAGGCTATAGTACCCATTAATTTTATGAAAAGAGCACCAAAATACCCAATGACACTGTACTGGCAAGTGGCAATAGAACCCCTCCATTTTATATTATTCTTATTAAAATTATTATTATTATTATCATTCTTATTACAATTATATTTTTATTACTCCATATTATTATTGTTGAAATTACTATTTTTATCATTCTTGTTTTTAATAATAATAATAATAATAATATGTTGTTGTTCTAGAAAGAGTCAATAGTCATTCTATATTTTAAACATGGGTTACATATATACATTTGACTTCTCACTACGTAATGGTTGACATTATTATGATTATTATTATTATTATGATTATTATTATTATTATTATTATTATTATTATTATTATTATTATTATTATTGTTAATATTATTGTTCTTGTTGTTGTCGTTGTTCTTCTAGAAAGGGTCATTCTATTTTTAAACATATGTTACATATATACATCCGACTTCTCACCACGCAATGGGCGAGAGTTTTTGAAATACTGAGATAATATTATTGTCATCATCGCCATTATTTAACAAAAAATGAAATAATACCACAATTTATATGGAGAGAATATTTCATTTTCCCCTAAAAAATTAAATAATATCACAATTAATATTTTCTTTAAAAAAGAGTAATACTTCGTATTTATTTTTCCCATTTTTATAGATGGAGAAAAAAATTAATATAAATATCTCTATGAAGAATAGTACCGTCAATTGGACTTGCCAAATTTTGGAAAAATATCACTCAAAGGTTGGGATGTTCAATTGATGGGGATAAGAGGGTGGCTTTGGGTCAGACAAGATGGAGAGTATTCGCTGGGGAAATTAGAGGCTATAGTAACCATTAATTTTACGAATGTACCACCAAAACACCCAATGACACCGTAGTGGTAATTAAACCCCTCCATTTTATATTTTTTTTATGAGAAATAATACGTGGCTCGGCCTACATTTCCCAACTATTTACGAAGAACAATTTTTTTAAGGAAGAGATCAACTATGTTTAGTGCAAGATTAATACTGTGTTTGGTTCAACAAATTTGAGAAACAAAAGAAAAAATAAAATGAAAATCAAATTTTCAAGTTTGGTTAGAGAAGAAAAAGAGAAAAAAAGTATTAGAAAAAGAAAATGAGAAAAAAGAAGAGATTAAGACCAAATTTGGATAGAGGAAAAAACAATTTGTTTTCTTTTTCTTTCTTTCTAAATTTCCTTTCAATTTTGCAGTACAACCTTTATCTCATTGCATGCTTCGAATTTAAATTTCTCAAGTCAAATTAGACAAAATTTAGATCTTATTTAAACAAAATTGTACTAAAAATGCTTTTATTATATTTATCTTGTTGAGAACTTTCAAAATTTTATTTCGTTGTATTAATATACAATACAAATTATAATTAATAATTAAAATCTATCTTATATGATTCGAAAGACTCAAAGTAAACAAATATACTGACACGGGGAGAAGAGTATGTCTTTAAACTTATTAATGAAGATATAGTAGTGTATTTTCAAAATACAAAAGAAATAAAAATATTAAAGAAAAAGAGAAAAAGATACTCCCTCCGTCCTAAAATTTTCTTCCCGGTTCGCAAAACGAAGAAAAATCCCAAGTTTTTTCAATCTATTTTATTTAAATATTGATATAGAAATAAAAAATAAAACATACAAATTTAAAAACTACATCAAAAGTTCAACAAAACAAGTGGTGACAAGAATATTTTATTTTATCATATAGGCCATGAAAAAACACAAATAAATATAAATTTCCGTGAAGTTGGAATAGTGCTCTGGGAAGAAAGTTTTAGGACGGAGGGAGTATTTAAAACAAGAAAATAAAAAACAAAATAGGTTAAGAAGAAAATTGGATTCCTTCTATTTTGACGAGGAAAAAGAGAAATCGTTGATTTTTCTTTCTTTCCAAATTTATTTTCTTTCTATTTTAGAGTACAACCTTTATTTCAGTATATTCGGCTTATTTAACTTTTTCAAGTCAAATTGAACAAAATTTAGACTTCAATTAAACAAAAATTGTATTAAAAAATGCTTTTATTATACTCCCTCCGTCCCGTGAAACATTTCCCCTTTCTTTTTTTATCCGTCCCATAAAATACTTCTCATTTCTATTAAAAAGTCACTTTTACCCCTTATTTTTTCATACCCTAACTATCACATCATACCTTTTTACTAATAATCTATCCATCAAATCATACTTTTACCCATCACATCAAAGGACATTTTTGGAAATTCAATACCAAAATACACTCCCTTAAATCCCTCCTAAAAAGCAAATGTCTCATGTTTCACGGGACGGAGGAAGTATTTATCTTGTTGAAAACTTTTGAAAATTTATTTCGTTGTATTAATATACAATACAATTCACGAAGTAAAATGAATGATTAACATTCGTTCAATTTGACTTGAAAAACAGAAACTTTAAAGAAACATACTAGTAAGAAGAGAATATATGTTTTTAAACTTATTGATGAAGATGTAATAGTGCATTTTTAAAATACAAAAGAAATAAAAAAAATTATTTACTTAAACTTCATGATGAATATTTAAGTGTTCATTTTCCTTCAAGATACGAAAATTGTTAAAATCCTCCCCGTTAAGAAAAGGAACAATTAAAGATTCATCGAGACTTTCAAATAACCAATTAACCTAACTTAAGACAACCTATTTAGGAGGACTTGGTGACTATTAGGAAAAGAGAATAGCGTCAGAAATCCGGTGTGGGATCTTAATCAACAACCTTTGTTCCTCCTTTTTAATCATACAACTGTACCACAATTTCAAAATGTGAAGTGGGATTTGGAACTTGATCAAGCTACCCAGCCTACCCATATAAAAAGAATCTGGGTTTTAGCATGCATAGATGATAGATGTTGAAAGCTAGCTGAGAGACAAATAGAAAATGGAAAAAACAGACCTTTATTTTGTTTTGGAAAAATTCACATGAACATCCCATGTGAATTTGGCGGAATTAGTTCTGCCAAAAAAGCCCAAAATAGCAATTAAGGGAAGGGGGGTGCAGGGTGGTTGGATGGGGTTTAAGCGGGGGTTGGGGGAGGTAACAACCGTCAACTGACGGGTGTCATCTGAGACACCCTCTAATAATAACCACATTGTGAAAGAACACAACTCTATATACACCAGATCAAGTTTCTCACCCCCCTGCCTCTTTGGAACTCCACAAATCAGCTGGATTTCATAATTGGCTAAACCCTCTGATTATTATAAGATGCAGTAATTGCTAATTCTCATCACTTGAAATCAAAACTTTCACTCTCAGCACGAGTTTAGCTTTCTTGGATATATAGGCAATGAAAAACTTATGGCTTCTGCAACTCCTCAGGTAGTGGTAGTGGTTTGTGCCCCAAGGGTTTGTTCACATGATCAGACAGAGGAGGAGAATTGAGGCCCGTTGTAGGATTAGTAGATGTGCCATTATCCTCTTCTCGACTATCCGACTTCATTTGCGACCTCTCCAAGTCCCTGGATGCAGCAGGATCTATCACTAATTTGTTGATTTTTTGGTCCTGCAAAATGGTAACGATAAAAACAAAGCCAAACATAGAGCATCACGGTTTAAAATGCATACACGGACCAAGGATTTCTAGCTATCAGGCAGTTAATTACGAGTTTTGAGACCAAATAAAACTATGGGAAGCTACCCATGGAGAAATGTCTAATCTCTCTTTAGTGAAAGATTAAAGAAATACTTTTTCCATTCTTTTATTAACAATCATTATGACTTTTATGTGACATCAAAAGTTGAATAAATATGGACCTACATCATGTCCAGATTCGTTCTCTTTTTTATATACAACAACATTACCCCAATACCTCAAAGGCTCCCGCTCATTGCAGGGTGGGGGGGGGGGGTCAGATGTACGCAGCCTGCAGCCTGACCCCTATGTTAAAACATAGAGCGGTTGTTTCTAGATGACGCATGATGAGCGTTGAATGTTGCATCAATAAAAACATAATGTTCCATTAAAAGAGAGCGGAGAAAACTTACATTTTGTAGCTCTTCAAGCTTCCTCTGCAGGGCCTCATGTTCTGCCTGGACACGGGATGGGACACCATGCTTCTGGTACACATTGTTTTGAGCCAAATCTGCATCAATATCACTAGATGTGGTTGCAAAGGGATGATTTGCAGGAATCCACCTGACAGTATCAGGGTCTACATCAGGAGGCATTGATTCTCCTTCCTTCAGAAACATTGTTGGTCTCTTCCACTGATATGCACGGGATCTTCGCTTTTTATGCACTGTTTGCAGCTCATCTGTAAGGGTCACGGGAGCTAAGCGGTACACTTTTCCACACATCTCGACAGTTGAATTGCTTTTGCTGACCTTCACCATGGGGTTATTGAATGGGTCTTCATACTTGAGAGGTGTAGATCTGTGAAGAAAGAGTAACAAGGTAAATCGACACGGAGTATATGCAATGGCAACACACTTATCATCTTACAAAGTGTGAAAGTCTATGCAACAGTTCAACACACAAACCATTGGCGTTATTAGGTTTGAGTCAAGTCAAAAGAGAAGATTGCAATCTTCTAATTTGAAATTGTTTAAACTATCATGTTAATCAGTAATAAGCAAACACATGATTCGTGAAGATAACACCTAAATACTAACCACCGTATGAAGAATCCTAGAGCTCAGTGAGTGAAATTTAGAATCATACATGCCTCTTCTTTCTGATCTAAGCTGCCCACGGCGAACGAGATCAGCTACAGAGCCTGGCCGACTGTAACTTGATTTCCTTGCTGTTAAACCTCTTACCACAATAACTAACATGGTCGCTAGAAAGCATAATCCAATTGTAAGGTGTGTAGCAGAAAGTTTGCCAGTCTGCAAAAACAGACAAATTGGAGGCAGTAAAAGTCCAGTGAGCATTCAACTCATTCTACTTCATTTGGTAATATAGTAGGTCTCATTCATTGCCAATGGATCTTAAAGAGTCATTATTGACAATTTTTAGTTCCGAGCACATAATGGACTAATTCAAAATTGCAATTTAAGCTTCTCGTGTTCCATACTTTCTATGAAGTTTTGGGTAGTAAACGCAGCAATGCATCTAAGGTCTAATGTAAACATCCTCTCTGTTTTTTGGGATTATTCTGGGTTGTTGTTGATAATGTAGCAGGTTAACTAAAACAACAACCCAATTGAATCCCACAAAAGTAATCCCACAAAAGTAGGGTCTGGGGAGTGGGTAGGGTGTGTGTATGCAGACCTTGCCTCTACTTTAAAGCAGAAAGGCAATTTCCAAAGAGACCGCAGCTCAAGCACCACAGGTAATCACGTACGCAACCTAACCCCAATGTTTAAGGCATAGAGCGGCTATTCCCGGATGACCCATGATGAGCGTTGAAAGTTGCATTGACTAAGTGCTACTTCACTATTAAAAGAAGGGCACATAATTTAAAGAGCCATTTTGCTTTATTCAATCATGCTACAAAGCCAAAAAATAGTGAATTTTTGGCTCCATTGGAGATGATGGAAACATAATGTAGCAGGTGAACTCAAAGTAAAAATTATATTGTGAGCGTGTTGTTAGAATCCAAGAGGTAAATATAGTATTTCATCCAAATGATTTGAATCAATACATAAATAAGCATAGACTAATGTTCCCCCAAAGAAATAGAATCCAATGAACTGAACCACATCTAAGCAATCCATTTTAGAAGCCATAGGCAATTAGGCATAACAAGAAGCTCTGCGTATAAAAATGTCTGTAAGGAAATCTAGGTTCGATGTGCTGGAATCAAAGTGATGCAGGTTACTTAACACTCCCACTGCCCTATAATTTTATTGTTGATTTGACGTGACTCACTTTTTAGTAAATAAGTTGAAATTTAAAATAATGATGCCTCAAAAAACAATGAAAAGACCTGCCTCTATGCAACTGCACTCTACACAAAAAGAGGAGCCATTTTTAAGAAAAAAGAACTTCCCCAGCTCTACCTTCACTGGTATCTTTCTCTTGAGCTCTGCAGAAACTCATCAACAGAATTTGAAACCCATATCCCCATACCCACAATGCTGTACTTTACAAAAGGCAATAGGCAACAATAATTCAGGGTGTCAAAATATTATCAAGAACTCACTTTGCTTTAGACAAGGAAAATCTTCAATCCAGATGTGCATGACTATTTCTAAGACTAGGAGTAGAAAATAACCAGGAAATTACCTCGGAGAAGACGAACACCGGGAGAGAGTCTATTGATTCCTTCAATTTCGCTACTACATTTTGCCTAGGTTTCTCAGCATCTTCCTTCTCGTACTTCACAATCACGACGGCGTCTTTAGACAGGCGCCCCTGTTCATCGGAACCCACAGCTCTCACCCCAAACTTTCTGCAGGTAACTCTTATATTCCACTTGGTATAATCAAAAGCCACTCCCAAGTCCGACCGAAACCGCAGCTGATCCAACGAACTTCGAAGCTTAACCAACCAATGCACAAAATCAAAAACTTCCATTGGATGGGGGGAATCGAAAAATTGTGAAGGGTAGAAAAAGAGAATGGGAGAGTTGACTTACAGGAATGAGCGATGGCGCGCGGAGGTATAGTGTCCCAATTGACGCCATTTTCGTCGTCAACTGCTATTGCTGGAGGGAGAATTGGGAAATCATACCGGCATGGGAAGAAAAATTAGGGCAAACCAATTTGTGAAATTGACAAAAGATGTACTCCAAAAAAAGGGCAAAGATATACGGTACATATTCCAATTTGTGTGTTTCATACTAGTGTTTTGTAGCGTTTTAGGCTTTTAGCATGTTGTGTTTTAAGGTCAGCGGCAATAAGTGTGACGCCCACGGGCTTCATTAGGTTCATTAGGGAGTAAGTACCGAACCGATACCGAAATTTCCCGAAAAAACTAAGAATACCAAACCGAAAAAATACCGAGAAGAAACCGAACCGAATGGTCGGTACGGTATTTGGGAACGGTACGATATGACGTCCCATACCGAAAATCCCGAACCAAATATATATATTAAATATTATAAAAAATAATACCCCGGAGTAATATTTTTCATATTCCTTCACTAAATAATAATTTTTTTAAAAAAATTGGTTCAAGTTTTATTATGTGTAAGTTATACTTTTATTTGAGTTTTAGTTTTTGTGTATGAACATAAAAGTATTCACAAAGATTCAAAAAACCCTTTGTTGTCGTTCATTTTTTAAATTTTTCATATTTTTAATTTTCAAAAATAGAGGGGCGTTGTTAAATTTTAAGGTGTAAAGTAGGTATGTATATTCATCCCGATTTGTACCGAAACCGAAACCGAACCATCCCGAACCATACCGAACCGATATGTCGGGATCGGGATCGGTACGGAGTAAAATCCCATACCGAACCGAAATATTTGGTACGGTATCGGTACGGGCTAAATACCGTACCATGCTCACCCCTAGGCTTCATCCCATTTTTTTAATGTGCAGGGGTGTCAAACACCGCCTCCCAAAGATTGCGGAGTCATCGGTTGACCGTCAAAGATTTGATGCTTTCTTCCCTTCCTCAATAGCCAAAAAACGGCTATATAGCCGTTAACCCNTAAGTTTATAAATTTCCCGCAAAACAAAACTATCTCTCACACATCTCTCACTATCTTCTCTCTACAATTCTATCAATCTTTCAAATATTTGATTATTTATTATAAATATTTAGAAAATATATTATAAAAATGGGATCATCTTCATCCGACGATGAAAAAATAGATCTCATAAATGTATTTTTTATAAATGAATTTTTTTATGAATGTAATATTTTTTAATGAGTGTAATTTTTTAATGCACTAATCTCCTTTCGATTAATTCAAATGATAAATTAATTAAAATTTATTAATTTAAACTTAGAAGATGTATATTTAAAAATGTAAAAAATGAAGGTTTAAAGCCTTCTGTTTGAAGCCCCGAGACTTCAAACCCATTTCCACTGAATCTGTGAGATAAGTTAAAGCTGACGTAGCAGAGAGAGAAATTTTGAAGCCCGGGGCTTCACGAGTATTTTCAGTGCTCTAAGGAGTAAAAACGTTTAGCATGGAGTAGTGTTTCTATTATTTTTATTTTCTTCAGAAAAATTTTACACCTAAATAAACAAAAACAATCCAGTTCAATCTTTTTATTTTTATTTTTAATATAAATAATATGGAATATAATTTTTTTGAGAAATTTGTTCTTTTAATTTGTATGACACTAAACTACTACAATAACAATTCAGTTGAATCTTACAAGAGTAGGATCTGGAAAAGGTGTGTGTACGCAGACATTACCTCTACTCGAAAGTAAAGAGACTATTTCGAAAAAGACCCCGGCTCATCAATGAAAGTTGCATTGATTGATAGTGGCGGATCCAGAAAAAAGTTTGACTGGGAGCACCTTTAGCAATTGGAGGTAAAAGGAAATAAAAGGGTCGTCCACACAACGCTATTAAAAAAAATCTAGGTTTGAGCCACGCTCTTCATTTGTTTTTATAAAACCAATGTAAAGTGAAAAATAGTCTAGTAAATTTCATGCTTAATTAGAAACATTCAAATAATTAATATGAATAATACGAAATAAGAAAAAAATTATGGAATGCATTAGTTTAATTAGCATCTTAAATATTTCACTTATAGGCTCTATTCGTATGATCATTCTTAATTTTTACTTTCAAGCTTCATCCTTTTAGTTTTTTATTATTTCCTTTAACCCAATTTTTAACACTACTAGATGACCGCTAATGTATGAAATTAACCATTTCACAATATCAATTTCTAAAAGTTCCAATTTTATATTAAGATCACTTCACACAAAAAAAATGTGTGCAATATATATTAAAGGATGTCAGAGTTGAAGGACATGGTGTTGAAGACACAGTCGATTTCAGGACTTTGGAGAATGTCAGAGTTGTTCCAAGCTTGACGAAAAGTTTGATTTTTAATTTTGTCAAGCAATTGGACGAACATGGACACATGATGAAGTTTGGAAACGGGAAGTGAAAGGTCTTGAAGAGAAATCTTGCCATGGCCTACGGAAGCAAGAGAAGTTCGCTGTATGTGGATAGGTTACCGTCTCAGGGAGTGACCGTCTCAGTTCAGAATAGAAACAAAGTCCGATTCATAGAGTCGATTTAATGGGCAGAAAGGGTCTTTGCAAGAGAGAAACTCATAGCCATTGGTCATATTCAAGATGAGTGCGCGAGCGAGGAAAGGTTAGACAGAGGTATCTGTGGTAGTGGGAGCACAATTGGTGCTTTAGCCAAGGTTCATGGTCAGGAGAACCTGTATTCCAACTGTTGAAACATCTTTAGAAGATCGCTTGTTGAGTATGGAGATTGTTTGTTCTCAAAATATTCCAGGACCTAGCAGTGCGTGTGTGTAGTTGAATCCTGTAGAGACCAAGGACGAGTTAGTGGCACATCTAGCCATGATTGATGGTTTGGAACTCAGGAGAATTTCAACGAAGTCTTCTAGGTGATCTAGAAAGCTGGTGGCAATTAGAGGTGGTGGAATCGTCGTTAACAGATTACAGAAGTACATTAACAAATTAAAGTTGAAACGCAGGTGAACATTTTTCCGTGACTTCAAGTGAGAGATTGTTAAGTGTGAAGCCACAGAAATGTGTGTTTGGCTTTGTCAAAAGTGGGACAAGAAGAAATTGCTAGCTTTGCTTTATGGGTGTAGCTATAACGATTGTGCTTAACTTTAATTATGACATCTCTTTTCTTTTCTCTGTTTAGGAGATGATGTCATGCCGATATGTGCTTGTAATCTTGGGGCTGTGTGTGCAACACATGGAATAAAATCCTTCCGGATGCCCCTTGCGGATGCAGGTTGGATGTAGGTTACATGAGCGATCTAACCACATTAAATCTTGTGTTATTTATTATTTTGCAGTTACTTCATAATTGTGTATGTTGTTTCCACGGGCGTGTATCACAACAAATCCTCAAGAGATTTGGAGCCCGAAGGAAAGCACTTTTGTAGTTTTAGAAGCACTAAAGCTATTTTCCTCTGAAAGGATGAATTTGTTTAGAGTAGGGAGAATTATTAGTCCCAAAAACTCTTTTCCCTTTATTTTTATCTTGTTCCATAAAATCATTTTCCTTTCTATTAAAAAACTATTTTTACTTCTATTAATTCTTAACCTACAAATCGCATCATACGTTTTTACTAACAGTCTAGCCATCACATCCTACTTTACTCATTATATTACTTTAAGGGTATTTTTAGAAAGTTAATACACAAATATTCATCTCCTGAATTTCATAAAAGTCAAAATGGGAACATCTTTATGAGACGAATTAAATATTCATTACTATTTTTTTGAAAGCAAATATTCATTAGTATAATAGTGAATAAAGTAAGCGTAAGTTATTTCTTACTACAAAAGTTAAAAGTAAATTTTGAATAGCAAGCGTTCATTGTGGGGCGAAGGGGAGTACATTTTTAGAGACTCTTTTTGGACTACCATGCATATAACACGCTCCGGCCTTTAGTCAAGGTAGACAACTGAGAATGGAACAAGGCTGCCTGTCTTTGATTCTTTAACATTTCATTTTAACACAAGTAAAAAAAGCAAAACTGACAAAGGACGAATTGAACATATATAGTGTTTGAACCGTATCAGATGAGGCCAGATCAGATCTTCGGCGGGCAAACAGAAGACAGCCTAAGTAACTAGGCGGCACGAGCTTCACTTTGGCCATCTTTATATATTAGTGTGTTCCGGAACAAGTAGACAAGGACGAGGCCAACAATGGGGAGGGCTACCAAAATGAATAGAGCGCCAGGGTGCCTGATCTTACACGATGCTGTATCATTGTAAGTAGTGCTTTTGTATCCATTCCCCCAAAGCGATGCAGCAAATCCTCCAAAAAACATGACCCTGCTACATGCACGCATGCATGCATACCGCATGTAATATAACCATAACAATATGTACACACACAGTTACGTTGTGATATAAGAGCTGAGTAATAACCAAATAAAATAAAGTGAATAAATTCTATAAATGTTACTCGATCATCAATAAGAACTATATCTCTGAATGAACTAATTACACGGATAGTACTCGTTAACTAGAAAAAAATCATCAATTTAGTCCTCCGACTAACATCCGTTACGTTAATTATAAGAGCATCAAAACGATGTTAGAACTTACAGTTTTTCCCAGAATGATCATTTCTAATTACGGAGTATGTGTTTTCTCAAAGGGAAATTTACGTAAATAACACTAAAACATAATGACTTTCCCTAAATAACATCAAATGTGTTTTTTTCCCAATCTAGCACGTTTAGTCATTATCCATTAGTCATTATTCAAGTAAATGTTCGTCATCACTGGACGTTATAGACATTATGAAGTGCTATTTAAATAAAAAATCATTAAATATGAAAAAATAATTTTTAAATGTTATAGGTGTAAAAAATAATAATGGAGAATAATTTAAAACCTCTAATTTTTTATGGACGGAGGGAGTAGATAGGTAGAAATATATACTCCCTCCGTCCCTAAATAAAGTTCCACTTTTGACTTTTTGAGGATTTAAGGAAGGGATATTTTTGTGTTGACTTTCCAAAAATACCCTTGATGTGATGTGTTAAAGTAAGATGTGATAGATAGATTATTAGTAAAAAGGTATGATGTGATAGGTAGGGTATGAAAAAGTAAGGGGTAGAAGGGGGTTTTTAAGGGAAAAGAGAAGTTTATTTAGGGACAAAGAAAAAACGAAAGAGGAACTTTATTTAGGGACGGAGGGAGTAGTAGACACTTACATCCTGAGCGCAACAAAGCCCCATTTGCCCCATCCCATATCGGATTTGCCACGGCATTTACACAACAAGGGTACTAAGCCTGAAAGGACTAAACAGACTACAGACGCCCCGCACAGAGTAGCGACCAAACTGCCCATGGCTTGTTGGCAATTAGTCACGTTCTTCAGACTCCTCACCTATACTAGTCGAATCCATCAGCCATGCATTTTGGTTATTAATTACCACTCATCATCCCTAAATCCCTGTAAATTCGAATGAGTCAAATAATTTTACGTACCCTAGCAAGTTGAAGGACAGCTGCTATGAATCCTATAGTGAATCCTGTTACATCTATCATGACAATCCACCCAATCATAATTTTTGCCATTTTTTTGTTTGTGATGATATATAGTACTGTAATATATATGATGAGGAGTATAATATATAGCTGAACTACTAGAGATCGATATGATGAGAAGAATGCTCTTGTTTAGCTTTCCCCATACGTAGGTGCATGTACTTATATATAGTGTACTTATATTGCTTTCCACAAAACACTTCCATTTTCTATTAAAAACCACTACTTTTTCATACTCTACCTATCACATCATATTTTTTCACTAATAACCAAACTATCACATCTTACTTTTTCCCATCGTATCAGGGGCAAAATTGGAAAGTCAACCAAAATTACATTTTCCTTATTTTTTCCCAAAGTCAAAACCGGTAAGGTTTTGTAGAACGGAGGGAATATATGAAAATGGGTAGCGTAAGAAGAGGGACACCCTTACAATTAAGATTTTGCGGGATGAAATTTGGATTTCATCATTACACTTATGCCCCTCAAAGTAGAAAAAGGAGGGATTTGCTCCTACTTTTAGTTTTTACTCATCTTAACTAGTCTCAATAAACATTCTAAAATTTTGACATATTATAAATATAATTTTTTTAAGTTTTCTAAGGGCCTCTTTTGGAATAGAGTTAGAGATTAACGTTAGTGTTTTGGATAAAATTTTAACAATGCAGATTATTTTGAAAACGCTAAACGCTACCCGTAGATAGCCTTTTCAAAACGCTAACACTAATCGCTAAAACTATTCTCAAACAGGCTCCAATAGTAACAATATATGTGTTAAACTGGTGCAATATATATTGGTATGTTAATTTAAAAACAAAAATTTTTATACAAAATTAGTGGTCATTGAATGAAGTACTACTGAAAATAGTTTTAAATAATAAAATATTATAATAAAAAATGGACTAATTAAATAATGATACATCATTAGAGAATGTATATGTGGCATAATGTCAATTGTCACCCTTCAATAATTAAACCAATTTTATTCTATTTACTTTGTTGAAAAATACATGTAGTAATAAATAAATAATGTGATGAGATAAAAGTTTTGAAGCAAAGTATTTAACTAATAAATATGCATATGTGATTAAATTTATATAATTATTTTTTGAGAAGTAATAAACTAAAATAAATGGTGAATAGTATAAAAAAGAAATATTTGTAATCACATGTGCCATGCACGAGGTCAAACAAAATTTTTGTCGATTCTTTAATTTTTTCATTGTATATTCTAACTCTCATAAAAATAATTTTGGAGAGAAGATTATTTTTGTCATCCTTACAATAATTCCTAAGACTCAATAAAATAAAAGGTATTTGGAAATCTTCTACTCCTCCCGAGTCCTCCGTTAGGTGCTCCGAACGCGTCTCAGAATCCAATTAAATCATGTGCACGTTCTTGAATACTTCAACGATTAATGGCATAATTACCCCAATGATTCTTATTTGGAGCGTCAAGGGCACCATATAACTTTTGTCATTTTCAAAAGGTCCTTCTAGATTTTCCGTAAAGTACTACTCTTTCCGTCCCAAAATATTTGTCACACTTGCTTTTTCAGCACTCGCGGGAACTTTTGTTTAATCTACGTTTTCATTAGTTATTTGATAAAATAAAATATTTTTGACACCTCTTATTTCGAAGAACTTTTCATATAGTTTTTTGATATGTAAATTTTATTTTTTACTTCTATATCAATATGTAAATAAGATGAATTGAAAAAATTTGATATTTTAGTTTGGGAAAACAAGTGTGACAAATATTTAGGGACGGAGTATAAAGTAGTCCATACTATACCTACCTACGTGGCTACGTGTGGAAAATAGAAGTGATTTAGTGAACCAGCCTCTCCCAGACTCCCATAGTCCCACTATTCAAAGTCCTTACCCAGTTTTCCGTAGTAATGAACTGTCTTTATTCTACTCCGTATATTTTCAGTTACCCATTTTCACGACTGTTCTATTGAGTGGGATAAACAAAATTTGATATTGGAAAATATTAGAGGGAATTGAATCAAACAAGAAAAAATTAGAAAAAAATTTAGATAACTAGAACAAAATAAAAAGTGTAGGAAAAAAACTCAAATGAGTTTGAAAAAAATTGAAAGTGGTTAAAAAACTTGAATAATTTAGAAAAAAGGAAGTTAAAGAAAAAAAGAAGGAATTGAAAAATTGAAATTAAAGAAGTTGAAAACAACTGCGAGGAGCTGATATAAATTAGGAAAAGTTGTAAGAAAACAAAAAGAGTGAAGAAAAATTAAAAGGAATTGAAATAAATACCGAGAATTATGTACTCTATAAGTTTTAAATCATATCTTTTCTCAAAAAAATTATACTCCATTTATTTTAATTTTTGGCCTCTTTTTGGTTTTTATACTCTGGGGTATATCTCTTTACTTTTGTTTCAAATCGTATTTTATTACTCTATGAAATTGCCACAAAAATTATGACTTTCGTGTTAAATTCGTATGTAAGGTACTTTACCCCAAAAGCTGTTGGGTATCCCTCCTACATGGAGGAAGGAGTTACATTTGGTGTTAAAAATGTAATTGGTTTAGAGTTGGTTACTATAATAATAAAAATAACATTTATTATTATTATTATTATTATAAAGGAAAAGTGTGAGTGGTGGGGGCTACCACTTACTTATTATTGGTGCCATTATTTAGAAAAGGCTTTGCCTTTTGTTTTGGCTTCTCACGGGCAGAACTGAAGCCGAGACAGCGCAGAAGCAGAGAGAAAAAAAGAGGGTGAAGCCGAGAGAAGGAAGAAGAGAGAAAAAGAGAGGTGCAACCTGGTTTTGTGCTCCGATCGACGACCAAACGAGCTCCGATCGGGATGAAATTTTAGTATGTTGTTCCTGAGATCCTCTTCTTCATATCCAACGGTGGGATTGTTGTTTTGATCTCTCGATGTCGGTAAAATTGCCTCTGTTTACTGCTGCGTTTTTATTGGGGATTTCTCACTTTTGAGTGAAGATTATTGTTGTTTGGTGTTCCAAGTTGTTGCTTGATGATTGTGTATACCTCTAATTGATTTAGAAAGAATTCTTGGTGTATCCACTGATTTTTCTTGGTGATTAGTGGAAGGCTTCGTGGTTTTCTCCCCGATTTGGGGTTTCCACGTTAAATCTTGGTGTTCGTTTATCGTTTGATTGATTGCTTGTTGTCGTGTTTGCTATTCTTGATCGGTCATATTATTTTGCCCATTTTGACAACACAAAGACGGGAAAATTATTAATTGCTTCCGCTAGAAAATTGAGGTTATTTTCCCAACAAAAGCTTGTCCCAAACAAAATCATTGCCACAAAAAAGTGATAATTGTTGCAAACTGAAATTGTTATCATGAACCTAATACTTGTGATAGCTCATGTTTTATGGAACTTAATTTTGCTACAATTCTATTATTATTGTTATTTTTATTGCTATTGTTGTTGTTATTGTTAAGAAAAATCTATGGTGGACCTAAGGCCCACCATGAAACTACATATGAACAAAATGTTTAGGATATTTGAAAATGTTTATGTTATAGTTTTAAATATACTTTTTGAGTGCTTTTGAGCTAGTGACAGGGTGTGCTCAGCTCATCCACCTGCTCAAAACCGAATTTGCCATGACTGACATGGGGGATTTGCACTTAGCTTCTTTCTTAGCATCAATGTTCATCGTACCACTACAGGGCTCTTTCTTCACCAGACTCAGTTCGTACATGCCATACTTGAGCGTGCTGGGATGGTCTCTTGTCGCCCTATCACTACGTCGGTTGATGCAAAGGCAAAATTGTCCTCCTCCACAGGCACGGTACTCTCAGATCTGTCCCTCTTCAGGTCCATTGTAGGTGCCATACAATATATTACCTTCACTCGCCTCGACATCACCTATGTGGTTCAGCAGCTCTGCCTTCATTTTCATGCACCTCGCAACGCCCATCTCACTGCCATGAAGCGTGTCTTACGTTACCTGAGTGGCACTACTACTCTTGGCATCCATTTGACGCCTTCTGCCACAGACTACCTATAGGCTTACTCTGATGCCGATCGGGCCAGTTTCCCGGATATCGGGCATTCCACTTCAGGCTATCGTGTGTTTTTGGGGGATAATCTTGTTTCCTTCCTGGTCGTCCAAACGACAGGCCACTACCTCTCGATCCAGTGCAGAGGCTGTGTAAAGGGTCGTAGCAAGTGCCGTAGTGGAAACCACTTGAGTATGCAACCTCCTCCAGTCCTCCTTGAGCTGCAGCAACCTCTCCAACATGACACTCTTGTCTTCTGCGATAATGTCAGTGCCGTCTATCTTTCAACCAATCCAGTCCAGCACCAGCGCACCAAACATGTTGAGGTATACATACACTTTGTACGTGACAAAGTGGCACTCGGTCACATTCGAGTACTGCATGTTTCATCTTCATCTCAGTATGCCGACATCTTCAACAAAGGACTCCCTTCACTTTTGTTTCTTGATTTCAAAAATAGCTTGGGCATCAGACTGCTTCCACATCCGACATAGCCAGGAGCATGTTAAATATACTCCCTCCGTACTGCATGTTTAATCTATTTTATTTAAATATTGGTATAGAAATAAAAAATAAAACATACATATTTAAAAACTACGTCAAAAGTTTAACAAAACAAGTGGTGACAAGAATATTTTGTTTTATCATATAGACCATGAAAAAACACAAATAAATCTCGTGAAGTTGGAATAGTGCTCTGGGAAGAAAGTTTTAGTACGAAGGAGTATTATTTATATATTTAATATTCTTGTATTATTTTGTTACCATAACTGTATTGCCTTCTTACTATGTCTCTTTTACTATAATTAAGATTGAGACCTCTTGTATATATATACATGTAATCACCACAAATCAATCAATGAAAATATTGTTTCTACAAATATAGGTATATAAAATCATTTACTCACATTTGTTTCTACCTATATAGTACTCCCTCCGTCCCGGAAAATATGAGAGTTTTGATTTTGAAGGGGGGTTTAAGGGGAGTGTATTTTGGTATTGAATTTCCAAAAATGTCCTTTGATGTGATGGATAGATTATTAGTAAAAAAGTATGATGTGATAAGTAGAGTAGGAAAAAGTAAGGGGTTAAAGGAACTTTTTAATAGAAATGAGAAGTGTTTTTTGGGACGGATGAAAAAAGAAAGGAGAAAGGTTTTCAAGGACGGAGGGAGTATATATTCTACGCTAGTTTAGTGATTCGACGTCATTCTTGAGAACCGAATCTTAATGCATGGATTCTTGTTGTACCTGAAATACTTAAACAAACATTATTATTATTAGCTCTTATACTGTTTGTTGACGTCAAGACACGGGGCTTAGCGTACATAATAGAAACATTTAGAATGAGGAGAGGAAAATATTATTGTTCTCACTATCCTAGTGAGTGAATGAACAATACAACCACATTGCATGAATCGGAAAAACATAGATTTGCACCAGTCTTTTATAACATCCATTCGAAGCATGTAACTGCACTTTGTATGTTCCGAATCACGCTTGTTCTACAAACAAACTTGGAACATAGAGGCCTTTATTAATTTAATTTTGCCATTCAAAATTTGAATTGAGGAATAGAAAGCACATGTAAAAGCTGCTTAATAGGCTCAAGTCAACAATGGGGAAGATAAAAACTTGCCAATTCTCATGTATAGACTTCAAGCTTAGCTTAAAGGGGGGTAATTAATTAAAGAGAAACATCAATTTTATCGCATGGAGTCGTGATTTAATTAACTAGAAAGAAAGAACTAGTAAACAGAGTGATAAATCACACTAGTTTTAACAGTTCTGGGATTACCGGCCTGGCCTTGAAAAGGTTAACAGTCATATTTTTTTTCTAAATGCGGAAGCTATTGATATGCACACATTCATTATCGTCAGACACATCATCATCATCGCCTAACATCTCCACTCTGTCCTCAGAAGTATCGTCGCCCATCTGAGCTGAAATTGCAGCCGGCCAATGCGCATTGCCCGGCTTTTCGTTGAGAGCATTGCCTCCCTCGGGGACATTTCATCCAATACTTCACTCATAAGCGTTAATAAATACGGAGTATTTTTTTTTCTTATGTTGCCATTACCATTTTTTATTATTTTGTCATTACTGGGTTTTTTCTTTTTTAGAAATTTTTTATTTCATTTTTTTATGTCATACAAACAATTTTGAGTTTTTGTACAATTTTATAGAAGAAATTCTAAAAAACGCTTTAAAAAAGAGTAACAAAAAAAACAAAGAAATAAAAAAAAGGAGCGACCTAAGAGTTATAACCATAAAACATTAAGAAAAAAATATGAATAAATACATTTATTAACGTTTACGAATGAAATATTAGATGAAATGTCTCCTCCCAGTCAATACCACAAAAATATAAAGATCTCCATTATTTTCTTGAAAATAGGACCCTTGAGTAATTTTCTGTCCACCTTAATGAGGCGGAGGCTCCAGGTGTTTTAAGACGGGGTGACGTCTAGAGCTTGGACGCTTGGTAGACTTGAGAGTTAATGTAACGCTCCGAAAATAAGCCTATCAAAACGAATTAATTTATAATTAATTAATTACTGAGAAGAACCCAAAAATAAGTGATTTATAAAGTTTTTAAATAAATAATGAAAGTTATATCATTATGTAGAGTTTGACTGTCTGACCACAACAGTTCAATCGGATTCCAATTCGGAGAAAAATGAACAAGTGTACCCTGACTAGGAACAAATTAGTCCTAATCAGGGACTTGCATTTAAAATCCGTAAGAATCACAGCCAGGCGCACTAGCCGATCAATTGCATTACGAACATCAACCTCACTAGCCTCTTCCTTCTTCTTCTTGTTATATAAGGAGAGCCTACTTCTTCAATTCTTCACCAAAACATTCCATTTCTTCTTCTATTTTTTTCGTTGTTGAGAGAGGAGTGCAGTGGTGCAGCCAATTTGGTGTGAAGTCGCCGCAGCTAGCCACAATCCTCGCCGAAATTTTCACCGAAAAATTTCCAAAACCTTCATTTAGCTTCGAGGTAAGCCCGTAGATATATCTAGTGACTGGAATATTTGTATAGATCATTTCTACGTTCACAAATGGTTGTTTGGTTGAATTTTGTGTTTTACATGCTTGAAGAACTAATAATCATAAACCTTTAAATTGTTGTTAAAACTACGAATCAATGATACAAAAATGATCTATGAATTTTGGAGAACATTTCTATATAGTTTAATTGAAGTTTGGTGCCTAAAAATGATATTTTTGAAATTAGACCCGAACGAAGAAGAAGATGAACAGTGATCGATAAACTAGAGGATGGATCGATCCACCCTACTGGATCGATCCCCTGGGAGTTGTTCTTCTATGATAGATTGATCCAAGATGTTGGATCGATCACCCAAGATTCTGACCTGAAAATACTTTTGAAAATGCTATTTTTGAGCTCTAAAATCCTATTCTTGATGCCAATCACCTATGATCAAAATAAATACTACTTTCGTCCCAAAGTACTTGTCCACTTTCATTTTTACACACCATCCAATACATCTCTTTATTAATCCATTTTATCTTGTAATTTGTATATTAAAAAATTATAGAAATTATATATTAATAATCTATATGTTAAGACAAATCAAACAAGATCACACATGACTATATTTAGACTTACTCATTGAGAGAATTTGATGAGTCAAAGTGCTCAGATGAACAATTCCAAAAGTCAAAACTAGACGAATACTTCAGGACGGAGGGAGTATGATATATGGAAATAAAAATGATGTTTTTTATGAATAAACCCCTTATGTGATGTATGACGGCAAGCTAGAGTGTTAACACTTGATGCTAGGCCGCTATTTGTTATTATCTTCAAATCATTTTTAATCTAAGGCCAAATCATTTTTATAACAATTTCTTAGCCTTTCATTAAGAGCCCGCCATTTGTACTATGTTGTGGTCATTATCATCAAATACTATAGGGCTCTTATATTTTTCTTGAATGGTCCTCTGTTAATATTTCTGTTAAGAACATAAATAAAAATGTAAATTCACACTCATCTCAGTATTCAATTAAGTTTTCTTCATCCTCTCGTACCCTTCGCAAACCCATTGTTGAATTTGAAGATCTAAACCCAAAATCGAAATCATTACTCCACTCTCAATTGTTTGTCTTTCTAGTGAAACTCAAAATCAAAACAAGTAACCTACATGGATGAGTTTTGAGGTTTGTTTTCTTTGCAATTTCGTGAGAATAACCTATCAAACTCATCAGTGACGGTAGGTTACTGTTTTCAATTTTGGGCTCCACCAAGAAGAGAGACAATTGAGAGAAGAGTGATGATTTCAGTTTTAGGATCATTGTTTCATACTTAGCGACGGGTTTGGGAAGAAGTACGAGAGGAGGGAAGAAGCTTAATTGAAATAGTGTAAATTTATAATTTTATCCATATTCTTAACATGAATGTAAACAGAGGCCCATTCGTGGAAAACAATATAATAATTGGGAATCAAATTATTGATATTTGATATGAAAAACTACCTATAATTGGGAACCTTTTAAGTAATCTACTTAAAAACATTAGAACAAAAACTAAAATATAAGTAGAAAAAAATTTAGGAAAAATTATCTTAAATAATCCCACATTTTCATGTTTTTTAGAATAATCCCAATTTCCACTTTCATCTAAAATAATCTTACATTTCTGCATGTGTCCAAGTTTTGGGTCTTCGTTAATAAAACTAGCGGCCACTTAATGAAATTTTTGAAAAATGCATATTTTTGCAAATAAATGAAAAATGGAATTATTTTAGGTAAATATAATTTTTTTAATTAATTTTAAAATTAAAATGTATATTTTTACAAATATAAGAGTACACTCTTATTAGAGATTTTGTCTCAACTTTTTTTTATAATAAAACGATTTACAAATTTCGTATTCTGTTTTGAAGGAAATACTACCATGGATTATAGAAAAACTCTTAACCCAAAAAAACAGCGCAGGCATCGGCAACGGTAACTTGCCGCGAAAGCCGTATCGCCGTCGGCCAAAATGAGCGAGTCACCGACTCAGTCCGCCATCAAACCGGATACTACGCCCTGCCCTTCTCCCCGGCCTCACATACCGGTTGAGATCATCAGCGACGAGGAAATGGCTCTCATCGACGCTGCCCTAGCCGCCGCCTGCCCTTCCATCTCCTGTTCGACTCAGTTGCAGAGAGGCGTCAGATCCATCCACTCGATTACTCTGTTATCAAAGCGGCGGGTTTCTGGGTGCACGGAGTCTGGATCGTCGCCGACCCGTGATATTGAAGATGGTGGGAATCGGATTGTAAGCCCCCGCAAGAAGAACCGGCTCAAGGAATCACTTTTACAGCGGTTCAGGCGAAAGAGGGGATTGGCTGTTACTGATATTACTGCAACGGTATATAAACTTGAATTCTATTTCTTCTGTTTGGGTTTGGATTTCATGATATGGGTCTGTTTCCTTTTGGTTGAAATTTGATTTTTTTTTTGGGGGGGGG